TTTAATAAAATCTAGCTAGATGCTTTTAATTAGCTTAAGAATTTATTTTTCTTTACCTTTATACTTTTTTATTTTAAATATAATAGGAAAACTCGCCTAGAAACTAATTATTTAAACCTAGCTATTATAGGTATATTTTCTTAAAAAAGTTTAGAGAATAAATAATAATACCTAGTTTTATTCTATTCTAAAGCTTTTTAAAGAGCCGAAAACTATTACGAAATTCATAATAAGGAACTTCTTATTATTATCTAAAAATTCCGGAAATAATAAATAGAACTAATTAGCTTACCTAATTTTCTAATTATTACTAACTATAAAGCTCTCGAATATTTTAGTATTAAGAGGCCCTTAAATAAATAATAAATCTAATAAATGAATTTCTTATTATAATTTTATTACTAGATTACCTATTAGCTAGATAAAGATAATATTATTACTAATATTTTATTCCGAAAAAACAAGCTTATATTAACCCAGAAATAGACTAAGAAAGTTAAGAGAACTAGATAAGTTATTTTATTAGATCTAATTCTTGCTTTTACTAAAATAAAAGATATAGTTTATATTTTTATTAAGATAAAAGAAATAAATAAGCTATTAGTTATAGTTAAAGTCCTATAAGCTAATTAGATAAATCTAGCTCTAGAAAATAAATATAAGAAAGTCCGGAAGAATATAGATTTATAGGAAATATTAAATAGCTATATATTTTATAATAAAAAACTTATTATATTAGATAAATATAATAATTTATAAACTAGGCTCTTATAATAAATTTATAATATAATAACTATTATATATCCCGGTTAAAATAAAATAAAAATCCTAGTTTAGAGACTTTACTAGTAATCTATTCTCTCTATAAATACTAATTACTTTATAGTAAACTATTATAAATATTAAAGATCTTATAAGCTAAGAAATAAAATACTAGGCCTATTATATCTATTACTAGTTCTTTTAAGAATATGGGATAATTTATTTATAGACTTTTATATTTCCGGTTTTATAAGTAAAAAATATAATAATATATTTATTATAATTAATTAATTATCTAAATAATATATAAGCTTACTAATAACTAAAAATACTATAGCTAGAATTATTACTAGCCTATTTTATTATTATATCTAGTAATTCCGAGAATCTTCCCTTATTATTATAAGTAACTAAAAATCCTAATTCATTTCAGACTTTATAAATAAATTATTAAGATTAACTAAAACTAAGCTAAAGCTCTTAACTATAGAATATATTTAAACTAATAAATAAATAGAAATTATTAACTAGATTATTAATATTTAACTTTACTTCTTTATTAATTATTTCTAGGATAATTAAGTAAATTTATTTCTAGTATTTAATATTATAGGTACTACCTACTTATATAAATTAACTGGCTTTTTTCCCTTAATAATTAATTATAAATATAAATTTAGGCTAAACTTTAATTAAATACTATTAATAATAGAGTTTAAAATACTAAAAAAGAAACTTAATTAGAAAGAAGTATAATAGTAGGCTAAAAGAATTAATATTACTATTAATTATACCCGAGAATATATAATAATAATTCAGGAATATTAAGCCAAGTAAGCTAATAAGAAATAGTAAGAACTAGACTTTAATCTAGGAAATATAGTTTATATAATTAAAAAGATATAGAAAATAGACTATTTATTTAATAAATTGGATTATTTTTTTACTAGACTATTTAAGATTAATAAAATAATTAGCTATTTATATTAATTAGACTTTTTCCTATTATATAGGATTTAACTAATTTTCTATATAAATAGGCTTTATAAGAATTCTACTAATCTATTATCCGGCTAAACTAATAAAGAGCCTAGTTCTACTAAAGTTAATAATAAACTTAAATAGGAAATTAAAAAGATTCTTTTTTCCAAGGTACTTTATAATAAGCTTTATTATAAAATTAAATAGAAGAAATAAGATATAAATAATAAATAGTACCTTATATTAAACTTTAAGAACTTAGTACTTAAACTATATAAATTCTATAAATAGAATCCCGGTAAAGCAGGATCTTTTATTTAGCTAAATAAATAGATTTAATATACTAAAGAAAATAAGTTTAATAAAAATTACTTAGATAATAATAAACCTTAATAATAAAGTCTTTATAACTAGAGAAAAAAAAGAAAAACCTAGATATTTCCCGGGTTTTATCTAAATTCTAATATATTTTCTTTATTTTATTATATTAGTATCTATTTTCTTTTCTAGAAATCTAGGCAAAATATCTTCTTTTACTATACTAGATTATATTCTATTATCTAAGCAAATTATAAAAAATAAAAAAAGTAAATTCTTAAAGCTAAGCTAAAGATAAATACTTGCCTATATTAGTTCGAAATCTTCTTAATTACTTTAACCTTTATAACCTTAACTATTTATATTACTATTACTACCTTAATAGAACCATTAATAAAGACGAAATAGATAAGAAATTCCGGTAATATATTATCTATAGCCGGACTAAATAAGGTAGCTTACTAGATCCTAAATAATTTAAGTAATAGTAATAGTATCTTAAGTTTAGTAGCTATTACTATTATTAATATAATTACTAGCTAAATTACTTTTATAAACGAAAATAGTAATTTCCTTACCTAAGAATAGGTTAATATATAGAATATAGCCTATATTATTCTTAAAAATATACCTGAAATTACTATAGAGAATATCTTAGTAAAAGATTCTAAGAATAATAAAATAAAAGTTTTAGTTACTAGTAATAATAAGCCTAATAATTTAATAAACGGAATAAATAGTACTAATAAGGGCTTTCTTATTAACCTTATAAAGCTAAATACTAAGAAAGTTAAAAAGAGTAAGGCTAGCTTATCTAAGAAGTATAAGGTATTAGATAATAATAAGAATTCCAATAATAAAAAAACTAAGAATAAAGAGACTTCTAGTAATAAAGAAGACTTTAACTATAATAAAGGTAACTAAACTAGTATTAAGATACCTATTATAACTAGAAAATACGCGGTACTAAATACTAGTTATTATATAAAGTACTAGTCTAAAACCAAGAGCTAGAAAATAATCCTAAATACTAAATTAAAGAAGTAATATCCTATAGATATTAATAAATTAGTAAATAATACTATTTAAGAAGTCGGAAAACCCTTTAGAAGCTTTTATAAAACTAAAATTATATAGCTTAAGGCCCAAGGATTTAATAATAAAGTAGCTCAAGTAATTGCCCTTAATATATAAGTCTTTACTATAAAGAAATAACTTGAGGATATATATATTAAGCTTAAGAAGGCCTAGAAATTAATTAAATAGCTCAAAAACGGTATAATTAAGCCAAATACCACTATCCTAACTAAAAAGAAAGGCAAGCAAGCTACTATATTAAAGCCTATATTAACGGATAGACTTAATCTATTACCCCTATTTAAAGACCGCCCGATAATAATAGTCCTAATATTAGCCATAGCCTATATGGTATTCCCAGACTATATTATTAATATAGGTATAGGCATAATACAAGTAATAGATACTAAGGACTAGCCAGAATATACTAGGAACTAGGTTATTCTAGCAGAGTTAAGACCATACTTTAATTATAAATAAGCTATGGGAATTAGACGGAATAGGATTAATAGCTATTATTTCCCTTTTTTTTCTTTCTTTTCTATATTATGGCTAAATAATTCCCTAAATGAGGGCATTTAGACTTCTCTTTAGGGGGGGGGAGGAGGGGGTAATATAATGGCTGACGTAAGGGCATAATCTGCCAAGGATAGGATATTAGAAATAGGTACAAAATAAAGCTAAGCCAGAATTACTTAGACGGAATAATACTAAAGGTCAAGGCATTCTCCCTACTTTATTCCATAGCTTAGTATTTTCTAATACATGAGATTCTTTAAACTTTAAGCCTTTAACTATTATATTAATCCCGCCATTATATTACTAGCATATCCTATTTAGGAATAGCCATATATTTCCCACTAGTATAGGCTATTTGGGAATAGCTATATATTTCCCATTAGTATAGCTTATTTAAAGAATAGCCATATTTCTCACTAGTATAGCTTATTTAGAGAATGGCCATATTCCTTACTAGTATAGGCTATTTGGGAATAGCTATATATTTCCCACTAGCATAGCTTATTTAAAAAATGGTCATATATTTCCTACTAGTATAGGCTATTTGGGAATGGCCATATATTCCTTACTAGGAGATACTATACGCGAATAGCCATATTCTTTACTAGGTAAAAGAATATATTTAGAAAGGCTATATAAAGATTACTAGTAACGGAAGTAAGGAAGCTACTTAATAAGTAATTAATTAGTAAGTAATTAATTAAGTATACGGGATTCTTATTAGTTAGCCCTTTCCTACTACCCAAATTTTCTAAATAAGGGGTAATTTTCTTGAAAACGCTGCCGCAAGCGGTAGTGTTTATTTTACCTCGCGAATATTAAAAGTTCGGTCTTTATAGGGCAAAAAAAACGCTACCGCTAGCGGTAATGTTTTTAATAGCGGGGTAAGTAGTAGTTTATTATTATTATTTGAGATAGCTTGCCTGTAACGAGGTATTTCCTTGAACGGAGAACGAGAAGCTACTATTAGTATATTATACTATAACTCTACTAATTTTTTCTATAAGACAAATGCTCGTTATTATCATAATAATTAATTAAAGGGGCCTTGCGATCGGGCGCACGCTTTACTCGGGCGGTGAGGGATGTGCGCGCTAGCCGCATCTGGGGCGCAGGTGCGGCAGCGTTTTTTTTGGGGTGATAATCTTACATTCTCCTATAAGTGTGTGAGTAATCCGTTTTCCGTCCTGTCAAACATTTCACTCTTGATTTCTCAATTCGTGCCGGTCACTACCTTCACTAATAAACTCACTATGCTCTCCTTTTATGCTCTTCTCTTTGCCAGCACCGTCCTCGGGCACGGAATAATCACTTCACCCCCAGTTCGTGCTGTTGGACCGGCTATGATATCCGCATGTGGCTCCTCAGTTGCCGCCCTTGTTACTGCCGACAACACAAGTCATGTCGAAGGAATGCCGGAAACAGCGGCGGCAATTCCAAATTTCAACAGCACGGCCTGCAATGTTTTCATGTGCAAAGGCCTGCAGTTTGCTGACAACACCGCGAATGTCCAAACTTTCCAGCCTGGACAGGTTGTCAACATGCTTGCGAGCATTCCAATCCCTCACGAGGGGCCGATGAACGTCAGTGTCGTCGATACAAAAACGAATACTGCCATTGGAAATCCGTTGATCAGCTTCGTCAGCTACGCCGATGAGTCTTTGCCAGCCCTGCCTGCGAATAACACTAATTTCAATGTTACTATTCCCACGACTTTGGGAAGCACCTGTTCGGTTGCTGGAACTTGTGTGAGTGTCTCTGGATCTTCTGAGGAGCTCTGCTGATAATTTAGGTATTGCAATGGTTTTGGTTCGGGACAGCGGCTGACCAGACTTATGAGAGTTGTGTTGATATGGTTATTCCGGGGTCCCCAAGTGCTGTCGTGAGTGCTGCAGCTGTAAATTCTGCATTAGTAGCAAAATCGAGAATTTGAAGGGGGAATAATGCGTTAGAGTAGTTGATTAATCTTGCAAAGGGAAGCTTGAAGCTGTCGTATATTGTGACTGGCGGTTCAACCTGACGATATTCGAGTACGTGACAACCAAACTGAACAGATCTTATATCGGAGTTTCTTTCTTATTGCGCTAGCCGTTGAATTTTCTTTCTGTTCTACTTTTGGATCGTCTCGTTATCCCACTTGCAGCTTACCGTCTTGAAAGCCTTTCCAAGGTTCTGTATGCAACTTATAGTCGCATCAAGTTCAATGTAGCTGAAGTCACAGGATTCCAGTGTTCTCTCTTCACCATCCACTTGACTTCGATGTGGACCTTTACTGTGAAAACTGTCGATCGTTCTCGATCTGCATTGCACACCATCCAGTCCACAAGCGCAGCAACTTTCTCAACGCTCGTACTTTCAAGGCTTGTCTCCGGCTCGAAATTCGAGTTGGGACCAGGATGGGGGCATGACATTCTAGCTTTTCCCTCCCACATCCTCCTGGAATCAAATTTAGTGGTGTAACTGTGTACGGTGGCATCTAGTTTCTTCATCATTGGATGTTGAGAGCTATTTCACACTGAAGCCCGAGTGGAGGCGCTGTGCCAGGGCCTATTCTCAAACCCAGTCAATGGCTGTAGTAGGGAAGGATTACTACCCCCCTTTATTACTTCTAACAGTGGGTCCACAGAGCACAGACATTCTACCATACAAAACACTCCGGTCAAGAGGACCCACAATTGCAAGTAATCAGGGTGGGAGTACCGGTTAGCTGGTCAGATCGTCCAAAATCGTGCATGTCAGAAGTTACTAGATCTGGTAACATGCATGATGTCGCTCAGATGGCGTTTCATTTACCCGAGAGAGGCAGAATCCGGCTCCGGGGGCTGATCAAACGGTGATAACACCGGCAGAATCTGCCGAGAAGTGAATCAAGTGATCGCCGAAATTATCTGACACCAGGACTTCCTTCCCGTTTCCAACGCCGAAAATCTGTCAATGGTCTGAAGATTGACGTTTGATGTTATGGAAGTAATGCTTGAATGAAACAGGTTGGGGTCATAGTCAGATGAGAGGTGCAGAAGATGCGTATTTAAGAGCCTCCCAGATCCGGGAGTTTATCGAACATCCTCTACCAAATCATCATCTTCTGTCATTACCAGGCGACCCGGAGTCGTCTTATACTATCATTTTTAATATACATTCGTTCATTCATTCCCTCACAACCGTAGTTATGGTTCGCATTTCTATCCTCACTGCGCTTGCTTGTAAGTCCGGTCTCTATTATCATTACTGCTGTACTGACTTGCGCACCCAGTTGCGTTGACCGCATTCGCCGTCACCCCGAACAATGCTGGTGCAAAGAACGTGGGCCAAGCCAATGGTCAACAATTCATCACCGGAGGGTGCACCTCAAATGCAGATTGCAGCTCCGCCTGCTGCGCCGGCAACCCAACTGTCGGTGTATGCTCTGCTGAGGCCGCCGCCCTACAAGCCGGCAAGACTGGATGTGGATTTGTTGACCCCAATGCCGCTGCAACCATCGCTGCCGCCAAGGCGCAGGTGAAGAAGCAAGGTTTTTAAATTCGAAAAGATGCATGGGGGAGGCGGGATGGAGTTTGGGGATTAAAGACGGTTGTGTTGTTGGGAAGCTTGGAGGATAACTGGCTCCTGTTTTTAGATGGGCGAGAGGATCATCTGCAATCCAAATGACCTTCCACAAATAATGTCCTCTTTACCAAATGAGCTAACGTGGGGGTTGTTGTAGGTGCTCTCTAGTTGTTGCACTCCAAGCCAAAAGCCGAGATGGACATGGTCGAGAATCAGAGAATTTGCCAAGTTGTGCACAGCGGAGAATTGACTAGGGCAGAATGAGAAAATTGATCGAGCTGTTGCACTGCAGCCTCAACAACACACTCTCTTTTAGGAAGAATAATGCTTCGAAGGGAACCGTATCGAGGAGCCGACAAAATACTACACCGACGTTCATTTGCGGGCGGTGGCATATACTTGGATGACTGAGATTTTTTAAGCAGGACTCGTTTAGACCAAAGTTGTCCCCAGCTACCAGCGATTCTGACTTGAACAATCATCTCCAAGCTAGATTATCTCAAATTGCCGTTGGCTTATAGGCAACCCTCTCTTGCAATCGCTTGGGACTGTTCTTATCATGTGCCGGAAGAATGACGAGTGGCATTTGCCTCGCAAGCTCCTTGATCTTCTTGAGTGTCTCGATAGCCTGCATCGGAGTCTCATTTACACCATCGGTAAGCTCGTTATCCAGATATTCTTGGCTATACGTCGCATCGCCAGTCAGGAAGTATGTCGCATCCTCGGCGAAAACCACGAGCGAACAGTGGCTAGGTACATGTCCTGGAGTTTGAACAGCTACTACTCTCCCATCAGCAGTGATAGGGTAGCTTTGCTCGAACGGCCCGATATGTGAATTGCTTTCTTTTAGGAAAGAAGGGTGGAAGTTCTTTGGCCATTGACGCGGGGTTGCTCCTTCGAACGTGGCGTGAACTGGCTCTTTGAATGCTTCGTAATCGCCTTCGAGCAAGAAAATCGGGGCGTCGATGAGATCAGGAAGGCCTCCGCTGTGGTCGTAATGGAGATGTGATATAACGACTGCTTTCAAATCTTTTGGTTCGATGCCCTTTTCCTGCAGCTGAACGCCGATCCCCTGGCTTTCATTGATATCGAATTTGCTCGTGAGATGAAATGTGGGCATCCATGAGGGAAAGTAATCTCTGTCTTTGGTGTGAGGAGATAATCCGGTATCGAAAAGAATGTAGCCTTCAGGGTGGGAGATAAGGAAGACTTGGACTGGGATGGGTTCAGCCCAGGACCGGTCTGTGAGGACGTGCAGGCGACGAAGCCAGATTGGTCGGTCTGCTGGTTGCTGGAGCATTGAGGGGCGACACTTTATCTTGCCTGTCTGGATAATGCTGATGGAGATAGGCATGATTGATGGTATTGAGATCGTTGATGAAGGATGATGAGGGAGTTGAGAAGAAGTTTCTTTGGCCGAGGTGAGGCTTTGATTCAGCTCGCACGTGCCGATGCCTTCACGTTCAGGCCTAATATCGACGCTAAATTAAGCGATCCACCCCCCCGAATTAAATCCACTGCTTACAACCAGGGACCAGTGCATGTGGCCAGTTGTTAATAACAGAGTCAAGAAGGAAGTGCCATACCAACAGTCTCTCGTCCCTTTCCCGTGGAATTACATCTCACTAAATCGAAAGCAGCTTACTTGTCTCTGCGTTCGCGCCAGGCCGGTCCTTATATCCCATGGCAACAATTGAATATTCCACTGGGGGGTGAGATCAGAGTGCATGGTTAATAAGTAACAAGAATAGTACCCCTCGGTCCAATACTCATGATTACTATAGCTTGGAACTTGTGTTGTCTGTCACTAGTTCTGATTAGTGATCCGACTATTCGGGACCGATAGGATCCTTATCCGTGAAATCAAGAGAACGTCAAATTTAATTAGAAACACGCAGAAAGATCAACGAGTATATATTCCTTGACTTTGCAAGTTGCAAAAAACATCGCTTGATTTTTGGAACAGTCGAAGTTTAAAGGAGGAAGATCCTGGGCTCAGGCTCTATGACCACCCAACTTTGTATCGTTGTATCTTGGCAGGTATACACAGTCAAATATGAATGGGAACATCCGGAAAAGAATTTGCATTGTCTGTACCTCATCTCTTCTCTCAGACATCTCGACATCATTTTAAGTACTTCGCAATGCCTGCTACAGAGTCTGGGATGAAATAGTGAGGATATGTTTAGCCGCTGCCGGAGGGAGAGTATGAAGTTAGGTTGGATATGTTAATGCCTGAGAGTGAGGAAGGAGGTAGGGGAGAGAGGAGTTTTGTTTTGAGGGGTGTGTGGATTTAAATTAGTCGGAGGGAAGTAGCCTATGGCGGGCTGATCTTAAAACGGTCTACTAGCAGTTCTCTTCGTTCGTTAGCACACAAATGGAAATTTCTTCATCTATGCAACAAGAATAGAAGAGCCAATATATTTTAGATTCTTTCTAAACCCGAGACAATTACAAGCCATGTAATTAGTCACGTGTATCTCTTTAAGTGAGACAACTAGGCTGTTCAACTTCGGTTACTATACTGAAGAAGTCGAACAAGGATAAAGTATCATGCAACTTCGTATTTATATCAATGAGATAATATTGGCCCTACTTAAATGCCATGCCTTGTGAGTCTTGTTGTAGTTGAAGTAGAATTTAATAGGAAGTAATAGCCGAATTTTTGAAGCGTCAATAGCGCGTGGGCAAAATAATAGAGTTATATTATAACTTTTAGTATAGTCGGAAGAAGTTCCGGGAATTCGGGACTAGAGGTTAGGGAGTTAGTAAATAGAGGAATTAAGAAATAAAATCTTTTCGTTTCTTGGAATTACTAAAAGAAGAATAATAGAATAAATATAAGAAAGTAGTGTGACGGCGGGATCAATGCAATAGTCGGAGGCTCAAAGTTCAAAGAATCTCATGTATTGGAAAATACTAAGCTGTAGAACAAAGTAGGGAGGATGCCTCGACCTTTAGTATTGTTCCGCCCAAGCAATTCCGGCTTAGCTTCGTTTTGTGCCTGTTTCCGATATCCTGTCCTTGGCAGATCATGCCCTTACGCCAGCCGTCACAAGTAGAATAGAAATCAAATTCTGGCTTTGAAAATGGTTGCATTGCTTGAAAGGTTAATATTATAGTTATATATTGCCCCATAATTACTTTTCGCTATATAGTCTCTCCGAAATAAACAGAAAATACGTCGATATTCAAAGGTCCTTATTTTTCTCCATCTGTAGGTGTGTTTCCTTGTTGATTTTGGCCCGGATCCTCTTTTATTACTCGCTCAATTCGCGATCTTAACCCCCTATCAATTTTTTTGAGCTTGTCTTTCAAGTTCTTGGGATCCTCAGCAGGGCCGCGATCTCCTGGCATCTTTTCAAAAACCACCTTAGAATTCTGGTTGCTGGTAGTACCCCTTGTCCTCCTCGGCCTATTCCTCTCTTTCGCAGCCTTCTCGACATTTAACAGCCCCCAAACCGCAACCAACATAACACTCGTCGCAGCTGCAACCGTAAGTGCCATAATCTCATACCACCTCAACTTATGTCCCTTCAACTTCTTCCACGGCGGATCTCTCGCTTCTTCAAACGAACTCCCCATCAACGCATTATTCGCCACTTCTATAGTAACACTGCACTGCTCCGCAAACCAGCTCGCCACTTTACCACCGGGACCATTATCTGCAACAGCTTTGCATTTCCGATCGCATCCGTACAGCGAGCCGTGCGTACAGAAACAGTTCTTCGTATGCGTGATACAGCCGTAGTCAAAACTACTCTGCCATATACAGTCTTTCGCGCACGGTGGGAGAGCGTCGAAAGTGATATTCGGTGCAGAGGCGCAAACATCGGGACGCGCAAACCAGTCTTCTGCAAGGAGCCAGTTCCACCAGCTACACGACCAGGCGCAGGCTAAGGGAATTGTCTGTTTGCAGTAACAGTCCTGTGGGTAGGTCACGCAAGTTGTGTTCGTTGCGTCTGAGGGACAGGGTGCTGGAACTGTTGGGCAGTTTATTGGTTTCGCAGATGGGCTGATACAGCTTCCTTGGACGCAGGCGGGCATTAAAGAGAGGTCTATTGTGGGAGTTGGTGCTGCTCCGATTTTTCGTTCGAAGGAAGGGGAGCGTTTGGCTTGGAGGTCTGATGAAGTGAGCCCGAGCAAGCTGCTGATGATCCAGAGCTTAAAATATGCTGCCATGGTTGAAATATTTTACAAGAGGGAGAATTGGCCGTAACCTTTTGCTATTTTGGAAAGGAGAGGGAGAGACAAATTATTTGCGGGTAGAGATAGATTGGGGTTTGGACGCCTTCTCAAAGGCTTCGCGGTGTCTGATAAAGCTGTCACGTCAATTTACTATCGCTTGTCGCTCCGCGAATCGGACTTTGAACTGTCTCCGTGACATTTCCGCCTCAAAAGCTTATATTCCGGACACCGTACCCAAGCCAATAATATCGAGCAGAGTGCCATTGGCAGATCCATTATCCCCATAAATGCGTGAACAGCACATTAAATACGGGACTTTCTAAGCACGCTCAGTACGCCGAGTTGCTGCTTTTACCCTCGAACCGCAATGAGGCGCTCTTCGCTTGGTCTTCCTCCCCCAAGGGGCTCGCTTAAGTTCAGCTGTGGGCTAGACCACCCCACAATTGCATGGCGCGGGCCGCTCCTCCCTTGTCAATACAGCCTTGTGGCGTCGGTCAACAGTGCGCGGGATCCCCATTTGGCAGGTATCGGCAATCTTCCCCAAACCCATGTCTATATCCGTTCAGCTGCTGCCAGGTGCGCCCTGCCTGTGCACGTTTAGGCGAGCTCTATCTACAAATCATATTGTTAGAATTGTTAATTTAAAGCCTCTAATTAGCTACAATTTTGCGGTACATTTGATCACGGAAAGACGCACCTGCTGATGTTGATATTTTGGGCCGAGGTGGCTGCTGTGTCTGAATGACACGCACATGAGGCGTTTTTGGTTGGTGAAGATATCAGTACAGTGAAACCTCGCTATAAGGATACTCAATATAAGGATATCCTCGACATAAGGATACATCTGCTGGCCCCGCAGGGATTAATTTTGCTGTGTGCCACACCTCGTTATAAGGATACCTCGGTATATCCTTAGTTTTTGGGAACAATTTCGGTATCCTTATATCGAGGTTTCACTGTAATCACTTGCAATCTGTTCAGCTGCGGCTAGGTGGGCACTTCCATGATAAATTGTACCGCAAAATTTGAGCGAATCAGAAGTCTTAGATCGAGAATTGGAATGTATGATTCGCTGCAAAACCTCGCTCAAGCATGCACGGACGGGCCGAAGCCGCAGGCATTCTCTTGCCATTCTTATTGTTCAAGTGGTGTCTTGCAATTTGTTCCAGTGCCTCCTGTCGCAGTGTTGAGGTAATTTTGCTGGGAGGGAAAGGGAGTTCCGCTCTGATGGTGGCAGAATGAGCTGAAAAGGGAGAGGGGATGATAGAGATAGTTCCGGTCTCGGAGAGCGATGTCTGCATTGGGCGCTAGAGTTGGGGTTGAGGTGTGCTGGGTATATCGTTACGAACACGTCTCTCATCATCACAAATTGTCTTAATGTTACATTTTAGCTCGAGCTACTACTAACGATGACAGAAGTTGCTCCAAATCAAGTGGGCGAGGCACTTAAGCCTGATACCGATGACTCAACAGCTCCTTCCCGCATATTTCCCACATCCTCAATATCAATTTTGATTCGACATCTCACTAGGCCAACGATCATCGCGAGCCTCGTCTCTCCCGCTCATGCCTTCAACGCAGCAACTTGTTGCATGACACGCGCTCGGCAGTTCATCGTGGAGTACGATGATTCACCATGGACTGTCTGTGCAGCCGGTGTTTCTGAACCATGGAATCATGATCCTCCCTTTCCCCGCGTGCAGGCGAACTTGGCATGGTGTCTGGAGCATTGTCCTGGCTTTGCAGAAAATGGGTTGGAAGAATGGCTACATCCGTTGGCACAATGATTCGTGCCATATGCTACGCTTCTTTTCCTCTGTCCCATTGGCGACAGTGAAGAGGAAGCTGTTGAAATGGGCATTCTACAAATGGTGCTGGATTACGTTTCGAAGAAGATATTTGTTGGAGCTGGGGAGGATGGGGCTATTCCCGAAGACAGGGCAGATGACCTTCTCAAGCAGCATGACTTCACTAAGAGGTTACTTGAATGGTTGAACATTCTCGGAGATCCTGCGAGCGCTGTCTGGGGCTCCATTGCACAGCTGAATATGGATTGGTGGATTATCCAGCGATTGACGAACCTAGGCACCACAGGGGTCGATAAACACTCTACAGGTGACGAGGTCGCTGACTGGTATGACAAGGAAATGCTGGGTGTGGTGGTCATGGCTGGCCAGACAGCAATGAACAAGTATTTGGGAACTGCGCTGACGAAGCAACTCATCATCGAGGCTCTCATGACAGCTGTCGATGTTTTGACCTCAAGAGATGGAAACTCAGCTCCATCTCCAAGTCCTCTTGATCGCACGCTGGTTGATCTGAAGAAGGCTTTGTTAGAATCAAAAGACAACATGCAATTTCTAGACCATGTCGATGACGAAGCAACACTGCGAGAGCTTTCGCTTCTTGCCAGATATCTCATGCAAGGGAATATCGATCCTTTGAACTTCTTGTACACGGCTTCTGGAAGGATCAGAATATCAGGATCTCATACGACTTTGGGCAATGCCATAGAGACCGCTTTTCAGGCTCTCGAAGGTATAAATAGAGACTCAACTATGTCTAGCCGAGCGCCAACACCTTCTACGTACTTTGATAGCTCCTTTTCAGTAAAGATCCGTAAAGCGATCCGTACGATCTTGGAAGCACGACGGACATTCATCACCGCCATCGCACTACCCGTTGTCGTCCATTTTGCCACGACTGCCCAGATTTTCTACGAGTCTTATCAGAAGATGGGAGATTCCTCGACTGCACACGGTCTGGCATACGGTGCAATGTTCTCTTGGCTTCTCCTTATTGCAGTGATCGGCAATTGTGCAGTTGCCAGTGCAAACGCAGGTCTAATTACGCAGCAAATCAAGGGTGTCTTCAGGCTCTCGCGAATTCGAGTCCCATTGCGAGAGCGTTATTCTAATGCCCTGGAGTGGGAGTGCTGGCTCACTGATATCGGGCTCGATACTGGGCTCAAGGATAGAGTAGTGGTAGCGCGCAGCCATCAGCCTACTCTTGATACCAGGACTATTGCGTTCAAGTGGTTCTATGCCAAATATCTGGTTGGGCAGTTGGTGGGATGGGTGACGGTGGCTTTCTTTTGCGGATGTGCTGCTATAATTTCGTATACAACGCCGACTGTAGGATGGGGCTGCCGTTCTTTCAATCATTTGATGTACGCAGTTCTGTCTCTGGTCGTTGCGTTACTGCAGGTTGCGAAACACAAGGCCCGGAAGAGGGATGAGCAGAACCATCTTAATACCCCGAAGACTACCGGAAAGTCAGCCGAAGAAGGTGGAGCTATTGTGGAAGTTTCGAAAGTCTCCGGAGATACTCACCCGAGTGAGAAACTCCAAGCAGAGATCACTCAGGTAGTTAATCCAGTTCCCGAAGCAAACGCCAACCCAACTCCTCCTTCAAGAACCTCACCCCCTCACTGGCGTACTCGACGGCAGTATCCCAAACCGGCACGCAGTCTCCTTACCAAAATCATCCGCGCCCTCTACATCATCTTCACAATCCTTAATTTCGCCCTCCTGATTGTCGGCACAATTCTCAACTGGGCAGGCGTCTACAACAGCTGCCGCTGCAAACACATTTTCGGTCCCTCAGACCACCCATTGGAATTAGGAAGCAACACACAGCTGGCACTGGATATGGCGAGGAAGTATTGGAATAGCACGGGATATGTGGCATATCTGGTTGCGTGGTGTGTTTGTGCTATTGCGGTGGTGGCGAGGAAGGTGCTGCAGGGACGGATGGCTTTAGAGTTTATGGAGGAGTGAGTTGTTCTGTTCTTTTGTACCTCTTCTAACTCCGGAAGTGTCTTTTAGAGTAAAGAAGACTGTGACTAATTTTTTTGCGCCTAGGGATGAAATCTCGGAAATAAATAATTATCTTCCAGTTGAAGAAGGAGATTCAGGGACTAGAAAGAACCAAGGACATTTGCAGCAGGGGTGGGCCCCTGGACCTAGAGACGATTTGGAGCAGTCCAGGACTCTGGAGGAATGATGTGATGATTATTTTCAGTTTAGTAAAGGTCTGAAGAGGAAATGACTCAGATAAGTCGGCTTATATATTCTTCTTTGTTCGTCACTTTCTAAAACGTATATCAGCTTCAAGTCACGCCCGAGTGTATGTGTGCAGGGTACGATGTTCTCAACTTCCTATGGGGTTTTCTCATCTCTCCGACTTTCGGACTCCTCTCATGCCATGCCTTTTGGATATATGGATTTGAGGACCCTGAACGCCATCTTCTTTGTCCCCAACAAGACTCGCGGAGAGTTTTCCAAAACCCGTTGGCATTATTTACCTCGAAGGCATTCCTTGTGTACCATAGATATAAGGCGTTCTATCTGTTTCCTGACCCTAACAATGTACTTCTTCCCGAAATGAGCCCTCAAGTCACACTTGCCATTCTGGAATATGAAGTTATAGCAGCCTTTCAGACAAAACTTGACAATATTTCCGAGCCATCCCTTATCTGCTTTACGAGTTAACGATGGCGTTTCGTGCTCCTCGTTACTTTTTAGCCCAATTGTCCTTATATGTGCAGGTCGAGAACCAATTTGAAGCTTGTAGACCCCCGCTCTATCTCGTCCCTAATCAAAAATTTCCCGCTTCAGACCATGCCTTCTCGAATCCCCCTCAATGATCTAGCCCCAAAGTGGCCATATCCACCCCCATTTAGCCATTCAGACATAAGTTCACAAGCCTTGTCCCTTATTCAGCCTCCTGCTTCATCTCCATCTTCAGGTTGTCTACCAGAGTCTCCAATAAAAAGCAACGCAACCTCAAACTGTGAACTTGATCCTGCAAGTCTTCCTTCTCCTCCCTCGTGTATTCTAATTCTTCTCCTATCTCGTCTGCATTTTGCCAACTTTCAAGCAGACCAAAGTGACACATAACCAAGTTCTTCTTCAGCAGGCTCAAATTCCTGGAATTCAGAGGTGTGCTCATAGCCTGAAGCGGAGTGGCAGATCTAGTAACCTTATGCTCAAAGTCGCCCAAGGATCCGGGGAAATTGTCTGAGCTGCCAAGCGATTTTAGGGTTACCAACAGAGTACCGGCGCGATCCACATGAACCAATGCATTGCCAATGTGTCCATGTGCCCTGTGGACCACCATGCGCCCATGGCGTGTGTTGATATCATCGTCAATGCTCCGAACGAATTCATCCATCTGGTCCCGCTGGCCTATGGCTTGTACAATGATCTGCTTAAGCAAGGTAATGCATCCATCGCGCTGAAATACTCCATCCATATTTCGTCCCTCAACAAGCTCAGCCAGTCTTTCCATATAGTACTCGAAGATGCGCGCCTCGCGGAGTACGAGGTCTGCATGGACCACATACTTTGGATTGCCCAGGATATTGGTCGTAGCATTTGATTGAGACAATCCGTCGACCAGACCACTCAGTTGAAGCGACTTGCGTTTGCACACCTCCGATCGCGTCGATCATATTGAAGAATGTTTGTTCCTTACCCTCACCTATTGATGCTTCAGCTGCGGGTCTCCATTGTAATGAATGAAACTTACGCTCTGTATTTCCTGTCGGACCTTGATCAGTCGCCATTCTCGCTGTGCGATGAGACAGATGTTTCTGGCTGAAAGAAGGACAGAATTGGCAATCTGTCGAGAAAGGAGTCTTGTGAATACTCGACAGCCTCGCCTTCACAATGTTGCATTCGCTTTGTGGCGCCCTTGAGTCAAACTTTGTGGATCGCACCCGCTCTCGGTGGATTTTATGGTTGCGACATTGACAGGTTGAAAACGCAAGGTTTTCGTGGGAAGGAAGGTAAGCTGCTTAAGTATAGTTGGAAAGATTCCTGTTCTCGCTTACCATTGCGGAACAAAGGTGAGGAAAACCATGGGATTTTTAGGATGTCATTATTCACTCTTAACTTCACTGAGATTTTGCCTTTGCTACATTTTTATGCAGCCAGGAGCTGGTCCGAACGAGCCACCTACAATACATAATACCGCAACTTCCCATTTGCCCGATAACTCCTCCACCCACTTGCTCTCAACTTATATCAACAAAAGCCCGGCTGTAGATCCGCAAATTGCATGGCAGAGCGGACCAGATGATTAGAGGTTGTCTTATAATGAATTGATAATACCTGTCTAATTGAAGGGTGATTGTAACTCAATTGCTCATTTTAAGCAACTACTCTCACCCACGAAGTGAGTTCCGAGACAGTGATCTAGAAATATAGACAGGAAGATGGTGGGTGCATTAGATTGCAATACGTGCGAGCAGATGCATTAGATTCTGAGATCAAACTGCAATCGCTCTTCGGAAGCCCGCCTGCGAAGCAGGCACTTGTAGATCCAGCTGCAATGATAGAGTTTAGCGACCCATATGGAAGGTTTTAAATCAACGTCATTCATTGCAGGGTATAGTGTTTCAGCAACGAGGAGGGGACATTTGACTGAAAGGGGCTAGGGAAGAACACAGAAAGTGGTATTATTGGGAGCAAGCCTGCTTAGATCTCAATACAATAGGGTAAAATCCTTTGAGTGTGTGTTTGAAGGAAGTATTTGGAATTGCCTCGCTTCGAAATAGAGCAGTACAAGTGCACTTGATCCTATTAGAAAAGAAAATAATTAATACGACACATAGACGCCCTATAGCGGTTTGCAGAAAGACTTGCGATTAAGGCAAGGTCGAGGTTTACGCTAAAGATCTAACGAAGCATGATCTGAAGAAGATGTATTAATTGAGTTAATATTTGTAGGGTATATTTAGCAAGCAAATAAGCGTGACTCTATATTATTATACCAGGAAAGGGCAAAATTTTGTTCTAATAGCCTCATATATAGGGATACTTTTAGTATATAAAATAGTATAATACGGTACTATAATATTCTATAGAATATTATTCCCTTCTTCTTTCCCGGAAAGTATAAGAAATACTTAACCTCTATATACTTTCGCTATTACTACCGGTAGTTCTTACTATCTATTCTTAATTAGTATTCTTAAGAATAACTCCCAAGATCCTATAGCTAATATAATCTATTTCTGAAAATATTAAACTATACCTAATATTATATTATTTATATTACTAGACTCTTAATATAATTTTCTTAAAATATCTCAATTAGTAATAAAAACTATATAAGTTAGTATTTAAATAAGGCTATCTGAATATATCTAATATTATAATTCCAAGTAAGAATTAATATACTTTCCTTTATAAATTTCTTTATCTAGCTAGTATTCTTATATTTAGTATTATACTAGTAGTCCGGATAGTATTAGAAATCCCTCTCTTAATATATATAGTCTTTACTATACTTCTTTTCTTTATATATATAACCTGTAAAGTTATTCTTAATCTTTCTTATTATATTATTAACTTTCTCTAAATTACTATTCTTTACTTTATATAATTTTGGCTTTCTCTCTATATCCCTATAAATCTATTTTAAAATCTTATCTAACTAGTTTAGAGACTCTTTATTTATTATTATATCTCGGTTCTTTGAGAAGAAAACCTAATTAGGTAATATTTTTTATAATAAATGCCTTTCTTAACTACCCTATACTACTATATATATAGTAATCTATTAAAGTAACTAGTAAGTATATTATTCTATTTGGTATAATTAGGGTATATCCTGGCCATAGGAATATTACCCGAATCTAATCCGGATTTGGTTGCCAGTTATTACCGTATCTGCCAAATTCCTTTAGTATACGGAACTTCTCCTCGCCCGACAAATAATCTAGAACGACCACCGCCTAATGCTTTAGAGAGAGCGGCCTGGGTTCTCCGTTATTGAACTCCCTAGCTCCTTTAAGAGTAACCCATATTATAACTGCCGAATTATCCACATGCCATCCGGTAAAGCTTCCTGCCTGTCCTAGCAGAGCCCACGTCAAGCAATCCTCCAGACCGCACTTTCTTTTCTCTGATATAGCCTTCTTTACCATCTTACTCCGAATCTCTGCAGTTTTTCCTTCCCTGAGAGCCAGGCATATGGCAGAAAGCAAGTCGAATCTTTTGGCGAAACCAGGGGGAGTAATGCCTTCCGCGGGGTCGGATATGCTAAGTAGATTTAGCGGTTTTATTACGAGACCACCGCGGGCAGCCTCGAAACTCGTAGCGAGTTCTCTAGCCATTGTTATCCGAGGAGAGACTATTGACTGGACCAGGTCCATATACTGAATATTGATCGTATTATTTCCGCCCCCCTTATAAGCATTTAGTATATCTTGCGTAGTCTGAACTGGTCGACTTTCCTTCCATTCTTCGTCGACTAGAAGAATCAAACCCGGCAACTTTATCTTCTCTAGAAGTTCGACTAGCCCCTTTTGATCCACAAGTGTAAATGTTTTGTTTGGCCCATGGCATGTGGCTGGAGTTCCCTTGTAGAGGTGCTCTAATCTTTTCAGACCTTTATTTGGTCGATTTGCCCCGGAACTCGACCTGACTAGCTTCAGGAGGTTGTATCTCGAAGGATCGCCGAAAAGGATCGCCTGTTCGGCGTCGAATGCCTTCCCCCCCCCCCTGCCTTTCCCTTCTCCTCTTCGCCCCGCTGCCGTTTCAACCTTTTTTTGTCTCGAATCTTCTGCTGTCGATCGGCATCTTGTTCTCTCTTTCTCGCATCCCGCGCCTCTTCCTCTAATCTCTTCCTAAAGCCGCGCGGTCAGTTTCATACTTCCATTATCTGCGAGACGAGAGCTTACGCATCAGCCTTTTTCCTGGCCCTGTAGTTTGCCTTGCGATCTGTCTCGAACTTCTTCTTCTCCGATGTCGGCATCTCTTTTCGGGCCATTTCTTATCAGTGTCAGTGCCTGTGAGTTCCGTGGTGCCTCGTTGTCTAGTATGGATGGATGCTTCCGTCGTTGTGCTCGTTGAGGGATTTTGTGGGATTTGTTCCTTCTAAATTTCGCGTTTCTGCTGAGATCGTTCTGGCGAGCTCACCACACAACCACGACACCACTCACATCAAATCCGATCCAACCTTGCCGGAGGCCTTCACCGTCAAGCCCTGGCCGCGCCGCCATCCTCCCGCGCACCACAATACAATGGGAAGCAGCGGGGAGACGCGCATTTCCTCTCATCAATCTCCATCTTCATATTCAATACCTCGAGTCACGGCCAATGATCATCTGCGATAACCTGAAGCCACTGCTATAACATGAAGGACTTTTCCTCTCCTTTAAGTTTTAGCATCTGTTCTCTACGATGCCGTCCATATTAGCAGTCGCACAGCCGAATCATAAAAATGAACTCTACAATCAAACAGATCAAGTCCTTCCACTGTGTGTGCTTCCCATGGCCGGGGCAATGAACTTGGATAGGTTGTTTGTAATTCAAATAGATACCGCGACCGCGAAAATCTAAAATCTGAATTTAGCATACCTTTTACTTAATCATACATTACTATCGTTGACCATAATAAATTCAAGGGGTAATCGTTCTCAACACTGCGCCTACTCACCGCCGCCCTGTGACTGTCAATGGTATCAGTCCACGGAAGCCATAACGAAATCTATACGTTCACAATAAAGTAGCCCAAATCAATCACCCTTGAATTCGGTCAGCAAGAAAAGTCCCTATTTTGTTCTTGTACAGTAGAATTAGTCTACTATTTCCATGAGCTAAAACTTGCCTGTTACGATTACATGCTTTCTGATTTCATCGCAATCTGAGCATGGCGCATGGTGTACGCTTATAGAGTTCTCGTTTGATGAGTGGATAACGCAATGAGACAGGTTATGCAGTGCGCCAGTCTCGAAGGCTCTCAGAATATCGAATCGTAATCTGCTTCACCCTCCTCTTAACACTTCAAAAGTTCAATGCCACTCAAGCGTTTCATTGCCCCTACACGTCATATCCAGTCTGTGTTATCCACCTAAGATAGAATTTTGCCGTGGCACTAAGTTATTACTCGTCGACTTTTGATTTGTAACTAAAGTTATCCCGCTAATCCCAACCTGCACGTCTACACTCATAGAACACCGAATCAAGACTTGCGCACTTCCTCTATAGTGCCAATTCATTCTAATTACAAGAATGAACATCTCGGTGTCGTAGCTTGGCGCGCAAATTCCTTAAACCCGAGTAATCGCTGTTTCGCGAAACCCACCCAACGTATATTATAGCCTTTTTCTTGTACTATCATAGATTTAGCTCTAAATATTTATCTCAATCGACAATAGCTTATACAAAGGACACGTTCTCTAGAAAATAAAAACAGTTTCTATTAATTACCGTGGAGAAATTTTAATAACTACTTTATAACGGCGTACTATTTTTATTCTAAACCAAGAGCATGAGATTCGCGCAGCATCTCATATATGCAATACCGTTTTCTGTAATATATAGGGTGTTTTTAATTAACTAGATCTATGCGCTAATCTGAATTCTTTCCAATTTTAAGTAATATCAAAAACTACGAGTACTATATCAACTCTATCTATAATCTATAGTTTACAATTATATATTCTCCCAAATATGTCACCGCAGCTCAAAAGACGTCAATTATCATATTCTGAGAAGTAAGTAATACGAACTATGCATTCTTCGCGTCTAATTCCAGGCTATATTACTTAATGCAAACCACTATAGTTTTCCGTTATTTGATCATATTTAGAGACCGGCGCATTGAGCTGTTACGTGACACTGGCTCCCGAAGCCCAAGAAGCACTTTGGATATAGGTAGAGCGTGCGCTTGTCTAAACTTAAGTGTTTTGTCTCTTAGCTATGGCTCGCGCAATACAAACACTCCCGACGTGATTCCCATCCATTTAAAGACCAGCGCATTGAGAAATTCAAACTAAAAGCTTTTGAGTATATGTACTACAGTTTCTACAAAATAAGAACGTGCGCCAGTCCCGCGTGGGCCGTGAAATTTTCATCAGCCCATACATTACCAGCCTCGTCCTATATATTCCCATCGATCCAGACATCCGCGCATCATAAAATTCAAACGTTCGATTACCCAAACTCCCAGATACACATTCCAGATACTCGGAACATGCGCCGGTCTCTTACTCGCGTTTACCATTCCGCAGCACTTAACCCAATTAATGATCACCTGAAATTTCTCTTGACCCAGAGACCCGCGCATTATAAAATTCAGACAACTAATCATTCAAACTCGCAGGTATGTATTCCGGCTATTAGGGACATGCGCTAGTCTCTTGCTCGCGTTAACTATTTCGCAGCATATGACTCAAGAAACTACCACCCAGAATTTCCATTAATCCAGAGACCGGCGCATTACGCAATTTTATCATTCCACCTTCCAAACTCCTGGCTATCTTCGACATATACTAGGAACTTGCGCTAATTCTTGGTCGTTGAATAATATTCATCAGACGGATCTTCATTTGTCCCTACCCCAAATTTATATTAATCTACGGCTCCTCGCATCGTGAAACCCCATTATTTTACCCTCTAAGACCCTGGTTGTATATTATGCAAGCTGAAAACGTGCGCTCGTCTCTTATTCGTTGTAGAGTATTTCGCACCGTAGAGCGCTGCTTACACTTGCCTGAAATTCCTACTGATCTAGAGACAGGCGCATCGTAAGAAGCTGTCGGCTGATCACCCAACCCCTTATTCATGTATTTAAAATGCTGGTAACGTGCGCCGGTTTCTCGTTGCACTGATAGTACTCGGTCATCTGGCGGCGCTGCAGATTTGATGACATATATTTCCACCCCTTCCACGCATCCGCGCATTGAAATATGGCAAGACCGTAATTGCCGTGATCCCGGCAATCAGCCATCAGTGCGAGAGGGCGCGCAAGTGCAGCATTGTTAGCTTTTTGCCTCTCATTGCAAGCAATAGCACCCACGAACATTTCTTTGTATTTCTATCGAACGCAAGCCTCGCGCATCGAGATATCCCATTAAATAAACTATTACTATCTATGGTATCGGTCATTTTACTGGGAGCATGCGCTAGTTTAATATTGCTGACTTTTTGCGTCTTGGTCTACGCTGTGATATATACGATTTCTTTTACATTTCTATCCAATGCGAGCCTCGCGCATTGAGTTCTCTCGTTAAATGAACTATTACTATCCATTATATCGGCCGTTTTAATAAGAGCATGCGCTGGTTTAATATTAATAGCTTTTTGTGTCTTGTTTCATACTATTGCATTTACGAACATTTCTTTATATTTCTGTTAAATGCGGGCCCCGTGCGTCAAAATATCTAATCAAATGCTTCTTTATTATCTATAATATTGGCCAGTTCATTGGAGGCATGCGCTAGCCTAATGTTATTAGCCTTTTTATTTCCTAATGTAATAACAAGCATATATTAATACTTTTTTATATTTTTATTTACTACGAGCCCCGCGCATTGTAATATCCCGCTATATTTACTATTGCTATCTAATATGCAGACCTTTCTCCATGAGAGCATGCGCCGGTCTCTCGTAACCCACTAGTCTACATATATGGGTTTATAGCAACCAATCTTCACTCAGGCATTCCAATCAAATACAAGACCTGCCCACCGAGATACTTGTTGAAAAAGATATGCAAGCCCAAATTACAGTTTCCATATACTAAGAGCGTGGGCCAGTCCGCTTTACCTTACTGCTCTACCTTAATCTGCCCTTACCCACCCACCACCATCGTTCAAATTCCCAGCGACCACGACATCCGCGCATTTGAAAATTTCACTGGATAAACCTTTGCTATATGAATTATATATACGCACAGCGAGAAGGTGCGCCTGGCAGTTGTTGTCAATTTCCGTATATAGCTATTATAGTACCCGTTATACTTCATTTGCCGATTATATAATAGGTTAGCATTTGCGCATTGAGATATTTTATTATAAGAATGCTTGAGTCATAAGCTATACTCACGCATAGGGAGAAAGTGCGCTGGTTAGTTATTCGATCGATTTCCTTATATGTCAGTTATAGTACCCGTTATACTTCACTTGCCAATTATATAATAGGTTAGCATTTGCGCATTAAGATATATTATTATAAGAATGCTTGAGTTATAAGCTATATTCAGGTATAGGGAGAAAGTGCGCTGGTTAGTTATTCGATCGATTTTTGTATATAGCTGTTTTAGTACCAATTATACTTCACTTGCCGATTTCACAATGCATTGGGATTTTCGCATTGAAATATTTTAATGCAAGAATGCTTAAGCTATAAGATATACTTATATATAAAGAGAAGGTGCGCCAGTGAGTTATCATTGATTTTTGTATATAGCTATTTTAGTACCCGCCACACTTCACTTGCCGATTCTATAATGTATTGGCATTTGCGCATTAAAATATTTTAAAGCAAGAATACTTAAGCTATAAGCTATACTCATATATAAAGAGAAGGTGCGCTAGTGAGTTATTACCGATTTTTGTATATAGCTATTTTAGTACCCGCCATACTTCACTTGCCGATTTTATAATGCATTGGCATTTGCGCATTAAAATATTTTAATGCAAGAATGCTTAAGCTATAAGCTATACATATGTATAAATAGAAGGTGCGCTAGTGAGTTATTATTGATTTTTATACATAGCTATTTTAGTACTTATTATATTGTATTTACCGATTTTATAATGCATTGGGATTTGCGTATTAAGATGTTTTAATATAAGAATACTTAGGTCATAAGCTATACTCACGTATAGGGAGAAGGTGCGCTGGCTTGCCGTTATTGGCTTCCTCATATATATATATATATGTATATATTATAATATACGCTATACCTTACCTGCCGATTTAATAGCGCGGCGAGATCCGCACCTTGCGAACTTTTATTCCATAAACCCTTGCTTAATAAGC